TCTGTAAACATATGGAGAAGACTGGAATTGCAAGAACCCAATAATCAGATGAACAAAAATTGTTAATTATCTCACTTCAATTAAAATTGTTAATTTCACACTTCACATTAAAATTGTTAATTCACATGGAAATTGTTAATTTCACAATTGTTAGTATCACATTAAAATTATTAATTTCACATTACAATGGTTAACTTTACATTAAAATTATTAAAATCACATTTTCATATTAAAATTGTTAATTCCTCATTTTCACATTTAAATTGTTAATTTCACATTAAATTTGTTAATTTCACATTTAAATTGTTAATTTTACGATAAAATCGTTAATTTCACATTAAAATTGTTAATTTCACATTAAAATCCTTAATTTCTCATTGAAATTGTTAATTTCACATTGCAATTGTTAATTTCGCGTTGTGTGTTCACATGAAAAATTTATTAATTTCACATTAGAATTGTTAATTTCAGGTTAAAATTATTAATTTCACATTAAAATTGTTAATTTCACATTGAATTGTTAATTTCACATTGTTAAATTCACATTAATATTCTTAATTACACATTAAAATTGTTAATTTCACATTTTCAAATTTTAATTATTAATTTCACATTGAAATTATTAATTTTGCATTAAAATTGTTAATTTTACAGGTTGTTAGAACATTAAAGTTCTTAATTTCACCTTAAAATTATTAATTTCACATTAAAGTCGTTAATTTCACATTAAAATTGTTAATTTCACATAGATATTGTTAATTTTATATTAAAATTGTTAATTTCATATTGAAATTGTTAATTTTACATTAAAATTGTAATTTCATATTGAATTTGTTAATTTTACATTAAAATTGTTAATTTCACATTCTTAAATTCACATTAAAATTCTTAATTTAACATTAACATTGTTAATTTCACATTTTCACATTAAAATTCTTAAATTCACATTAAAATTGTTAATTTCACATTAAAATTGTTAATTGATTATTGAAATTACTAATTTCACATTAAAATTGTTAATGTCACAATGTTAAATTCACATTAAAAATTCTTAATGTTACATTAACATTGTTAATTACATGTTTTCACATTAAAATTATTAATTTCACATTAAAATTGTTAATTTCACAACGAAATTGTTAATTTTACAATAAAATTGTTAATTTCACATTGTTCACATTAAAATTCTTAATTTCACATTTGCACATTAAAATTGTTAATTTTACAATGACATTGTTAATTTCTCATTTTAACATTAAAATTCTTAATTTCACATTGAAATCGTATACTTCACATTAAAATTGTTAATTTCACATTTCAATTAATTATGAATGAACTACACTTTCAAACAGCAAATTGGAACAATTCTGAAACCGTAAACCGAATCATAAAACATAAAACACAGCACACGCTACATTTAAATTCAACAATTTTTCGGTACCCTGCCAAGGATATTTCGGCGATTACTGTGACTTATCGGCCCATAAACCATATTTTAAATCCGGGCATTAATCCGTGGGCCATAAATCTACGCCAATGGCCCAACAACTCCTTCAGTTCACACGTCTGCCCGGCGAAGGTCCTCGCGGTGCGTGTTGATCTCCGAAGTATATTGGTTACACGCATCGCACTAATTTGGCCGTAACATACATCAGGCCGGCGTTTGGAACAAACACGTGAATGTGGTTCAGTGTGAAAAGCCCTCATGACATTATTTATTGTGTAAACTGGACCACATGCCGGCGAACTATCAGCTAATCTATTTGTCACTGGGGGATCTGGTTGAATTATGAAATAACTTGGTTGTTTGATCGGGACGGTTGTCCAGATCGGGTGTTTGTTCTATTTGGGAAATTAAAATGAGGATTTTGAATAAACCGGTTCTCGTTGCGGTTGACATGAAATTGACAGAACTGCTGACATTTTTCATTTCAAATCGAATGCGTTGGTTTGTTTTTCGTGCAAATCGAACTTTTTAGAAACCCTGTTGTTTGTAGCAGATTTTCAATAAATTCAATATTTTAAAAATACAAAACTTTATAAATAATTCTAGATCTTAAATTAAGTTGGCGCCCAACGTGGGGCTTGAACGTCCTATACGAAAAGTCTTAATCCACGAGGCAATCCAAGAATGAAATAAGATATTATTTTACATGGTTTTCCTAACCTGTTTTTTACAATTTGTAGAAACATAAGAAAAAAAACAATTGAATGTTACATAACAAAAAATAGTGGTCGTAAAAATTTTCTTTCGACGAAAATGGATTTCTCAAATCTTCTTATCCACCTGTACCAAATTTCAGCTCTTTCTTTTGTGAAATAAGGACGGTAGGTGGTATTTTCTGAAATCGTTATTTTTTCAGTTTTTTCACAATATTTCAGGAACGGCAGCGGATATCTTCTGTTTGGTTTATTTTAATGACCCTGAAAAGGCGCACCTTTTTTCTAATTTGAGTCACCCTGTATATCTTATGGTTTCCCAGATTTCAATGGTGAGCCATGAAAAGCGGACCACCTTGTATACCTACTTTTTCTAGATTTTGAACACACTGAATCTCGAAAACGGAATGTTGCCGGGCACATATTCATACGAATTTTCTTCTACACTTTGTATCGTTTGACCGAACATTGTAATTACACCCAATGTGTACAACTTTCCTTCAACTACCGCAAAACATACGCCAATATTTCAGCTCTAATTTCTTAAGCTTCAGACAATGCAATTTTGTTGCAGGGATTCGGTGGCCGCGATAGAATCCATGAAATGTTTCTTATGCAATTCTGTCCCAACTAAATTGCATGAATTAGAACATGCTCTATTCCGTGCAACAAAATTGCAGGGATTCTAGTTACTTCTATGAAGATTTGTTTATTACCAACCTAGTTCTTGTTGGCTGTTGATCATGGTGGTTGTTAGTAACACCATTGAAGCCACTATTAAAGCTATACAGCAATTTACTTTTAAAATTTCATCCACTGCAATATTTTGCTTGAATAAGAAATAACTGTTTACAAGATACATACAAGAAATTTTACATGTTAAACAATGCACAGTTGGTAACACTACTGCAAACTAAACAAATTGCAGCAATTCTGTCCCATTGTGTGATAATAAACATGCAATTTTATAACCGCAACAAAATCACCGCAATTTTGTCGCTGCTACTAAATTCCATTGTCTGATACAGGCTTTACGTCTTCGGTTGCAAGTTTACCAGTGCACCTCTGCAATCCCAAATCATGTTTACACAAATTAATAACCTTATAATAATGAACTTGTTCGAGCACACATTATATTCATCGTCGGGATGATTAATTAAGCCCGACTATTTTTAACGTGTCCGATAAAGAAATAGGATACGATTAAAATGTAAAACTCAGATACACGTCGCAGATAAACGGGCCCTAGCGTCACGAAGCAACTTCCCCGGCCTATCCTCGAGGCCCGGCCAACTATGACGGATCAGAATTTAGATCAGAAACGGCACGAAAAGCAGTAAACATTAGAAATAACAAATGGGGCACATAATAAATGTGGCCAGAGCACGTCAACTTCCAAATAAGTTGTGTGGGAATTGGTGGATGCGAGTGACACGTATCACGGGCCTAGCAGGCCGGGGTGGCCCGGGCGGAATCCTGATGGACAGGCGAGTACGACGGGGTTGTGCGTCGGGAAATTATTTCAGGAACAATACGGGGTGTTTCGTTGAGAATGGGATAGGGTTTGATGGTTTCAAACAAGGTGACTAAGCTAAACATGTCTTATTAAAGTATTCACAACGTTTCGAAAATTTCTCCAACTATGTGTGGGTAAGATATAACCTACAAAGTGTCTTATATCGCTGTAAAAACTTTATGTAATCATAGAATCATAAAAAATAACAAAGAGCTGTCTAAATACAAAATTGCATGAGCATTTTGCCAAATGAATCTGTTGTTTACCGCTTTTTTTACTTACTGCAACATTCTCTATGTTAAAAATGAACATACCGCGTCACTATTTTTAGCAACATCGATGTCAAAAATTGGGGACAGGTTTACTTTTCACTTTTTGCTTTATTTATATCCTAATTCCTCCAAAATGCGGAAACAGACGAACTTTAACAACTACAAAGAAAAAAATTGGTTCTTAAAAAAATATCTGGGGATTGAATCAAATTATAGGTTGTAGTCGTGTATTTCTGGAAACAGTTTTTATCGGATAGGGATCAAACCGCGTAATTGCTGCCGACGTCGAACAAACAAAATGATTCTTATATAAAAACTCAGCAATTACCAAAACTAGCATGTGGGTTTGTATATCTATTAGCAGTTCCACTCGAGCCCAGTATGACCATGCAATTTCCTGCGGTAAGAATTAATATAAATATGGAAGTCACGGAAAGAAAAATGTAGATGCTTTTGATAGGACTGTTACAATTTGCACTACATATTTGTACTACTGTTGTAGAAAAGATTTTAAGAAGCAAATTTCGGTTTAACAAAATTTTAAGCAAGAACAGTTTTACTTTATTTTAAATATATTAATGATTGAACTGTTTTAGCGATATACATAATTTTTTATGAAACCTACAACTTTCAAAATGTTTACATTTTTGTTTCCCTTAAAAAAATAAAGCAGGTTCTTGAAAATGTGAAGGAACTTTGACAAAAGCCGCTGTTATCTTTTCACCGCAATATTATAGTGAAATATCAAATTTTCTTTCATGTACCTAATGAGACTGAAAAAATAAATACGAGGCAAGAGTTTGAATATAAAAAAATACATGATTCCGACACTTGTTTAGATCAATCAATTTCTTAGAGATGCACCAGACGATACGTAATATGCATTTATTTTTTGTATTGCAATTTTACAGATGTTGAGCATTTCGCAAAATAATAACCAATAGATTGGAAAATATTAATTAAAAAATATGCAGGCAAAATTGTGCTTTAAGAAAATTTTTGTATAAATAGAGGAACTTGACAAAATCAAATCATAAGTTGTTTGAGTGGCATCCATAGCCAACATGAATTACTTCGTAGTTTGTTCCTTATTGGTTATCTACATGGTAAGTAAAAATTTGCCTAATATTTATCTGTTATAAAACCACTAATACATTATTATACTCGTATTCGTAGACCTATTTCTGTACAAGTACAAAATCTTCGCTTTAATAAAGATTTATTTGAATTTTGTTCTTCTGACTAATTCAAATTCTGATTTTAATCAAATGCAGGAAAAATCAGAACACACTTATTAAGTTTTAACAAATTTTTGAAAAGGCTTTGGTGATGTTTGTTTTTAAAAATATTGTCACGTCACTATCTTTGACATTCTTCAAAATAGGTACTAATTTTTTTGGGGGAAATTGAAGGAAAAACCCAAGAACCCAACAAACCCATAAAATTTAAATAATACCCTTTACAAGTTTGTAAAATAAAGACTCAGTTCTGATGATGTAAACAAGTATTACAAATTTATTAAATTCGATGTTTTCTTGCTGCCATTTTTTCTTTAATAGAATTCGTTACATGATTGGAAATCTCTTCCTTTGGTAATGTCTACAGGGTGTTCTGTTTTAACTGGTTATTAATTGGAATTACTGATTTTCAAGATACTATGTGTCATTTTCCCTATGTATGTCTGTTAAACTATCAAATTATTGTCCTTTTCACTACCAATCAGTGACGAACGTGATGACAAATGCAATATTATAATTTTCCACGTTGCAGACTGGAACCTGCTTCCGTCCAGTGGCGTGCCAATCATCTGACGCTTCAGGTGGTGGATATGGCTCAGCTGGCAACGATGGAAGCGGCTACAGCGGGGGAACGAACGAAAATACAGCCTCAGGTACTGTCGGTGGAGTCGGAAGGGTACTAGGCTCATTGGGCATGTCTTCTAGGTCTTCTGGTGAATCTGGAACAAGCGGAAGCAACGGCGCTCAGGGTGGTGGCTCGGGCACTGCTCACACCGACTAGTAACATACCTACTCGAGTATATTTAACTGTTAGGTACCGTTAATTATTAGGAAATCCAAACGTCAAGGAATTTGACGTTTGTAGGTTGAAAAGTGCACCCATTGTTGTATATTTAGTGTCCCTTTACGAAATAAACCAAATTGTTGCTTGTTAAATTACTTAAAACAGAGTTTCTTCAAAAATCTTTCCAACTTTCTGGATAGCCTTTAGTTCTAGTATTTTGCAGCTAAGTGATAAAAAAAGACTTACTTTGTCGACTGAAAATTTAACGAAAATTCTGATGACAGTTTTTGAAAAAATATGTTTGTGTTCTTTCACTGTCTTTCATTGTACACAAACTGTTAGTTATCTGGGTAGACGTTCAGACACATGGTTCGGTGGTTCCGCAGATTATGCCTTGGTGGATATCGCCTGTTAGATTCGAATTATGGGTGAGAATTTTGTCGCTACCATATTTTAGAAATTATATTTGCTCTAAGATTACCACAAGAAAATTACGACAAATTTAAACCTAGACAATTTACTACTATATGCATCATGTAAATGTTCGAAATAATCGATTTTCGCTGTTTGCTGCAACTAATTGGTTTGTCGGAGAATAAATTGTTCAAAAAAATAAAAACAAATATTTTTCGGGCTACAATCTTGTAGCAAACGCCTCCCTTCGATTTTTTTCCAGGTGGAAGTCGAAGTAGTCCAATTATCCAAGCGTGCCGCGGTGTCGTCCGAACTACCGATTCCAATCAGTAGCGTGATCGGGGTGACCTTTGCGTGAGTCCTTTTCGAACAAAATGCGGTTCTCGCAGGATGAATTGCTTATGAAGACACCTGTCCGTCAGGCTTTGGCAGGCCGGAGATTGAGTGATTGGGGGGTGGAATGGGGTGGCGTGTCTAATAAGAATATTTCTAGTGTTTTTTTTTCGATTGACGCAAATGTGGATTACGTAGTTTTCTTGAGCTGTGGAAAATTCGGAAGAGTGCGATTGAAGCGTCTGAATTAAGTGGAAATTTTCTGGAGGGCTGTCAGTTAAAGTAGTATCCATGTTCTTTATTATTCTGGATGGATTTAACGAACAACAAACTTAGGCAACGCGTCTGAGGAAATTTAAATATCAGTTTAAAATGTAATTAAAATATAAACATGTGCTCATTAGACAATGAAAACGTTAAATGTTCTCATGTAAAAAAATTCTAAATGACTATTCTTCATTTTATGATTATGATTATTTATAATTATACAAGAGTAGCAATAATATTTTAGGAATTGAAAATAGTTATTTTTTTCTTAGTAATTAGGAAACTACCTACATTTTTCCGAACTGTACATATACAGGGTCGGAAAGTCCCCATGGTTTATCGGCCGTTACGTATGAGCGATAAAGAAAGTCATAGAAATCCGTGAGATAGAGAAAGATGGCTTATTTGTGGAAGGGCGAAATGGGCGGTGACTATTAGGCGCCTTCATTATAGCCATCTTTCTCTATCGAACGGATTTCTATGACTTTCTTTATTGCTCTCACGTAACGGCCGATGAACCATGGGGACTTTCCGACCCTGTATAATTTAAAATTAAAGAAAAAACTTTTATGTGGGTACCTAATTGTGTATCAAATGTCCATAACTTTGTTAACCGAGATTTAAAAATAGTTATTTACACCATAAAGGAGGTAAGAGTAAGGCAATAGAGTCCGAGACTGGTAAATTTTACTTAACTGCTGCGTGGTGTATAACATTTTATCTGCTCGCACAGTTCTTTATGGTTCATGAAATTTTATTTTTTGACATTTCTTAATCAATTCATTTTGATATTATTCGAAATCTTGCAGAGTCGCCTTGGTTGTTTGGACTTTGTCGTTTCTAAGGCGTTTATAAACAAAGCTACATAAAAGTTGCATTTTTGCTGGTTTTGAATTATTATTTCTAAATGAGTGATTTTCAAATAGAAAGTGCAGCAAATGCTGCCTGCGAACTTCTATTGCCCGAGAAGTCGAAAGTGCATACGGACGAGCTTATAGAAATTTTAAAGAATGGCGCCTGAACTAAAATACTGGTGTTTCTGAAATGTCACTACTAGCATATTTCATGGAGAAGGTCAAGAACTTTAAAGCCACCGGCGAGTTTGTGGAGTGAATACTCAATGATTAAGTCAACTATTTTCATAGAGGAGAACGTGGATATATCAAAATATCCAAAGCTGAGAGCATTTTTGAAACGTATATACACCTAAATAGTCAAACGTTTTTACAAGAGAAAAAGTCAACGAGATTGTAGTTTTTGAAACTAGAACATCCTGAAACATATACAGACCATTCAGTCCGAAGAACATCGGCAACGTTACTGGCTAATATAGGAGTTGATGTATTAGCAATCAAGAGACATGGTGGGTGGAAATCAGCCACAATTGGAAATGGAGCGGTCAAATCATTTTCAAAAAAATGTGACAATTAGTAAATGCGAGGAGAATAATTATCCAGATTTTATAAATGTTACAACATTTTGCAATGTTGAAAGATGGGTTCGAGAAACAGGCAAGTAACACTCGAGAACGTGCTATTGCAATCAGGGCACAAGATGAAGAACTTATTTTGAATACAATTGAAGATGACCCACATATTAGTACTAGAATTCTAACTCGACAAATTGGTGTACCGCAAATTTCTATGCACCAAGTGATCAGACGTAATCTACTACACCCATATCAAATCCAAAAAGTACAAGAATTGTTGTTGTGGTTAAACGAGTGAATTTCTGTCGGTTTATCGAGGCATTAATTTTCAAAAGAAAATTATCTTTATTGTAACTCCTTGACATTTCCAATGCGATTTAAAATAAATGTTTGGTGGTGTTTCGATTGATCGGTGTTTTTGATTGATATTCAATTGGTCCAGTTATTTTACAGAATCGACTAAATGGCAACTTATTTAGAATTTCTCCAAAACGCTCTCCCGGATCTATTTGATGAGGTGCCACTACAACTCAGACTGGAAGTACTGGAACATTGGTTTATGCATGATGGAGCACCCCCTCATTTTAGTAATATTGTTAGAGACTTTTCAAACCATCACCAGTATCCAAATAAATGGACGAAGAAAAAATTTATGCCCGAGAGAAAACGGTGATCATTTTGAACAATTTCTATAACTTATCAGTGCAAATTGTATGTTGTTTCTGTTTAAGTTGTTTGTTTTGTTTTCTATTAAATTTTTCTTATTCTAACTTTTTTGTTGAAAACGACAAAGTTTTTGAAAAATAACAAGAGTACGAAAAGTTTTAGAATTAAATTCCTCATAAAATAAAGTAATAATTTTTTAAGTCCGCCAATAGGTTAAAAAATTCATTCACATTTTAATGGTGCATCATCCCTGTACTCTGTATATTGATTAATATATTTCTGCATATCAATGATTTAAAATAAAATTGACATCACATTTTTAAAAAGTTTGTTCAAGTCTTCATTTTGACTTGTGTTTGTAGAAAGAAAAAAGTAAATTAAAAAAGGGTGGGAAATAAAAGAACAAAAGAGATTTTTATAGAATGTGATTTATTAATGGGACACATAATATTAACAATATACACTAATATATTCGGATGGCTTTTTTACAGCAATTATAGTTTTGTACAAATAGTTTGTACGACAACTAGGCATATCCTGACGCCCCGAAGCAACACCCGCCTCTGGAAGGGCAATATATTACAAACAAAAAACTTCGATCGGGGAAAATGTCCCTCGGGAGGTCAGCAGTTTAACATATAATGTTTTCTGTTTAGGTATATACAAGCGTACGCTACTTTATACATTTATTTCATAAATAGTAAAATATTTATATTTATAAATTAAAAGGTGTACATTCCTTGGCACTTAGTAAAAATTTAAAAAGTAAAATTACACGGGGGAGGGACCTTTAGATAGAGGTTTAAATAAAATAATGAATGCCGGGGGATATTTACAGATAGTTTCATTATTTTATATAAAATGTCTATGATATAAAGCATCTTTTTGTATTTACAGGTTTTTTTGTTACAAATATCCTAGACCGCGAACAAATAACATGAATACGAAAAACATAAACGTAAATTGCACATATTTTAACATAGACTTAATTTTAACAAAAGTACGTGCCAAAGTGTCTAGCACAAATACAGATCACAAAACGAGTGTTTAACTTTTCATTTTTAAAAATAGAACAGCTACTTCGGCCGCTGGGCCGATGAAATGTCAATAAAAAAGACTGGGTATTTGTTTGTTGGTCACAACCGGGTTTTGGACCAGGATTAATTCATCTAAATGATGGGTAAAGTATGCCTTAGTACGGGAATACAAATGTTGCAACTGTTTGATCTTTAACTCGGGACTAAATCAACGAATTTACATTCGTAGATTTGTGTAGGTACAGTATTGATTATTTTAAAAGGCCATTTTGTAGCTTGTGGCGTAAATTCAATGTAACATTCTACAAAATAAATAAAAGACTTTCTTGTATACATTATTACTTAATTTTTTGTTTATTTTATATTACTGTGACTTTGAAAAGGAGTTATATTCAAACATGAAATAATCTCTAGCGTGTTTAATTAGAAAAACAATATTTTTTTTGTCACATTTTTTAAGAACACTAAATTTACTTTATATCATATAAAAAGGCCTAGTTTATAGCTATTTTTTCCCTAAATTTAATATTTAGGCAGTTGAATTCTTAGTCAAGTGTGTAAAAGTAACTGATTAATGAAACATCATATATTCTTCACGAAGTTCAGAAATAAATATAGGAATAAATAGTGAGGTTAAGTTCATGTGTTTACTTCAGTGTGTTTTTATAAAGAGTGACACTGAAACTGGTAAAGTAAGTTTAACTGTACATACTTCGAAGATTTAACTGAACTATATTTCGAATATTTAACTGAATTGTCCTGAACTGTAATTCGAAGATTTAATTGAACTGTTGTATTTCGAAGATTTAACTAAACATCCCGAGGATTTAACTGAACATCCCGTTCAAAGATTTAACTGAACTGTATTGCGAATATTTAACTGAACTGTATTTCGAATATTTAACTGAACTGTACATATTTCGAAGATTTAACTGAACTGTATTTCGAAGATTTAACTGAACATCCTGTTCGAAGATTTAACTGAACTGTATACATTTATTCACTTATTTTTACTTTTTGCGTACATTGACACACGACTTGCACTAAGAAAAGGAATCAAGGAAGTTCAAAAATAAATATGGGAATAAATAGTGAGGTTAAGTTCATGTGTTTACTTCATTGTGTTTTTATAAAGAGTGACACTGGAACTGGCAAAGTAAGATTACAATTTTTTTTCATGTTATTTAATTAAAAAATAACAGTTTTCAACTTATTTTTATTTAGTGCAAATAAGCTCAGCAAAAAAAAAATTAAAAAGGAGTAGAAAAATTTCCAAATTTTTTTAGTGATGAATTCATGAAGAATTCGTGAATTTATTTCTTATCAAGTCCATCACCAGCTACGCATACTTGCGTTGCCAAACAGCTACAACACGGTCATTTAAAATAAGCAATGCTGTACCCACAAGCACGGATATATTCATAAGCATTTAGAATTATTACTTTAAAAGTTGCAACACTCTCGTGGCTTCTCTCATTTCGGTGCACTTCTCCTGTCCCAAATTCAGCAACATCAATAAATAAAGTTTAAAACGTTACGTCTATCACTTAAAGTTATATATACAGGGTTGGTTACTCTCTGGCGCGCTTGGCCAGAGCCTTTGCCAGCTACCAAACGAGACCCTCGCTGAGCTGCTGCGGGTTGTCGGAGAAGTTGCCCGGCGACATGAACTCCGGGCTGCCGCCCCGACCGCCCCCGTTGCCCTGCATCATGTCGGGGCCGGGGCCCTGTTGGGGCATGAACTGACCCTGCTCGTTGGGCATGCCGCCGAACTCGCCGCCCATCGGCATGGGGCCGCCGTGGTCCATAGGTCCACCTGGAAAAAAACAATCGGTTGAAATAGGATTCGAAGATTTAACTGAACTGTATTTCGAATAATTAACTGAATTATCCTGAACTGTATTTCGAAGATTGAATTAAACTGTTGTATTTCGAAGATTTAACTGAACACTCCGAAGATCTAACTGAACATCCCATTCAAAGATTTAAGTGAACTGTACATATTTCGAAGATTTAACTGAACTGTATTTCGAATACTTAACTGAACTGTATTTCGAAGATTTAATTAAACTGTTGTATTTCGTAGACTTGATTAATTAAATTGTTGTATTTCGAAGATTTAACTAAACTGTACTTATTTCGATGATTTAACTGAACTGTACTGAACCATAATTCGAAGATTTAATTGAACTGTTGTATTTTGAAAATTTGACTGAACATCCCGAGGATTTAAGTGAACATCCCGATCAAAGATTTAACTGAATTGTGCATATTTCGAAGATTTAACTGAATTTTATATCTAATATTTAACTGAATTGTCCTGAACCGTATTTCGAAGATTTAATCGATCTGTTGTATTTCGAAGATTTAACTGAACTGTACTGAACTGTATTTCGAAGATTTAAGTGAAACTGTATTTCAAATATTTAACTGAACTGTATACATTTATTCACTTATTTTTATTTTTTGGGTACATTGTTACACGACTTACACGAAGAAAATAAATTTGATCCTGATAATTTGGATCCTGCTGATAGACCTACCTCCTTGACCGAAAGGCATGCCTCCTTGGCCTCCGGGGCCGCCTCCCGGGTGGTGTCCGGGGAAGAAGGGGCCGTCGTGGGGGTGGAAAGGGGGACCGCCGTAGCCAAATTCGAATTTTCCATCGGCGAAGTAAGGAAAACCAGGTGGTCCGTCCTCCAGACCGCCCGGTGACAGGTTCATGGGGAATCCCCGCATCTTCCTTGATCCTCCGAAAAACGGCCCCCTGCCCATTGACGTCAGCTGCTTTAGGCGCCTTTCTTTCGACCGTTTGTTTTGAAACCAGACCTGAAAATAGAATGAAATATTGAAAATTATGCAGGTTCGTGGTGGAAAATACAAAAAATATGAATGTAGGTAAAACACATCGGCGCCAAACATGTAAAAAATAATAAAAGTCAAAACATTTTTAAGATGGAAGACTGTATCTATTCTTAGATATGTTTAGATTATATAGCAAACAATGAGAAGTCAGTATGCCATAGGTGCGTCATATTCATGGCACGCTGATGAGGATTAATAAGTCTGAAACTGATCTACATATGTCTGGTGTATTCGGCCGACAAAGCTGCATTTAATGATATTACTGGTGTAGTTCAATACTAGGCGGGCCATATATTCCGTAGAGTAGTTTTTTTCTTGCAATATTATCACTTAAAACTTATTAAAATATTGCCTCACTACAAGAGCCTTAGGCGGTGGCGAAGTATTTTAGCAGTAATTATTCAGTGACATGTACATGTCTGCCTTTGATATGAAGCTTCGCATCGATCAATTTATTCAGTACGTATCTAGCGGCACCCTAATGCCTGCCCTGTCGGCCTGGTGTGCCGATGACAATCCAGGTTCTTTGCTGAGGGACGTTGGCCGTATTTCATTGTCTTTTGTGCGTGTTGAGTGAGTTTGAAGCTTCGCTCGATCGAGTGACTGGTACGTGTTTTTATGGCAGTCAGTAGTATTGTGCATCATGAGTATAGAGCGACACACGGTTTGATCACGGATTTAACCAATTTTTGCTACTACACCATGTATTATTTATTTGATTGTCGCCACAAAGTTTCCGATGTCTAATCATCATTTAAAACTTATCAAAATATTGCGCCATTACTAACTGCTTTTTCATGGCATGCTTTGATGTTTTATTAATCTTTTTGGCGTTTTTTCTAATAAGCCATACGAATACAAACCAAATGCTACTTTTTGCCTGTTGTGAAACAGTATCAAGCACGTTTATTACTTCGCGATATTCCCATTTGTTTTTCTTTCAATTCAAAATGGGTGTTCTTTATGTCTATCGGGTTAGGAAGGTTCTAGCGAGGAGGACCGGATTTACGGTAATGTGTAATTTATTGTAATGCGAAGTGTACGCCGTTGAAAAACGAAATACTAACACACGGCGATACTCGTATTATACGGGAATTCATGGCCTTCTTGAGTTTTGAGGCGGCCGTCATAAACAACTCACTCGAGCCGTAAAACCCAATGGCGGTACTTTTTCAGATATATAAATATTATTTTTAATATGTATTTTACGACTTTATAAATATTTTATATTTTTATACATTCAGGTGTTAAGATTTCTGTAGTTTACGGTCGGGGCCGTTCAAAGCTCTTAAAAATATAAACGTCAAATTTTTATCTGACGATTCCCGTGTGGATTCTTTCTTCCATCATTGTCTTTTTTCGGGGCTTCGGCACTGCTCGTTTTTTACGACGATTTCATGTTTTTTTATAGATAAATCATAGCAATAATACCGGGGATAAAGGGTTCTATAAAGCTGGTTCTAGACTGTATATTTTGCACGTTAAATCACTTGTAAAATATGACCTTTTTATGGGTCTGTCTTGGGAGGAAGTCTACCGAAAATGACCATAAAATGTGCCATAAACAATTTTTTAGATAAAAACGTAAGATCCAAGAAACCGTATTAAGGTGTCAAACGCCAAATACCCAGAAATGGTCAAGTCAAAATTAACATTACAATTTTTTTATGAAAATTTGAAATAAATAATCACACAATTATTATGAAAGGCATTTACTTACATATTTAACTTCGAGAGGAGAGGATGCAGTAATAACAGCCATTTTCAATAATTAAACTTGTTGTGAACCTCTGGAATAATCCTCTATAATAGAGGTAAATAGTCGTCGCAGATGGCGCATCGTCTGCATCGGTTCTACTTTTGTTTTCGATAAATTAATGGTCATATGGAACCGCTGATGAAAACTGTGAGCTCTCGAAGGAGTCAGAGGCTCCAAAAATGTTTCTTCACATTATTGTGATAAGTCAGTAAGTTATTAAAAAAATATCTTACGGAAAACCCTGAGGGGGATATGTGCCATCTTTATAAACCTACGCAGTACTCTTTAAAAAGTTGCAATTTGATTGGCAGAAATTGGGTCCAGACTACTGATGTATACTCTAGCTTAGAACGAATAAGAGTAATGTGCAGCAATCGTAGGGCAGAAATGTTGACAAAGCCTTTGGAATTATGATGATACTCATGTTCTTGAATGCAAAGGATGGATCAAATGCCACTCCAGGTCTTTTATGTAATCAGGTCTACGTAGTGTTATATTATCTATTTTATAATCAAATAGAACAGAATTTTTTCTCATGGCAATGTCGTTCATAAATAAAACAAAGTAAAGATCCGAGTATAGAACCTTGAGGCACGCTAGATATTTGATGAAACCTGTGAGACTTAAAACCACGACATCGGGCAAATTGATACCTATTTTGTAAATACGACTGAAAAAGTTGCAATAGTGAGTTAGACACACCAAACCAATATAGTTTGTTTTTACAATAAGATGTTGTGGTAGAGTATGTCAAAAGCCTTAGTCTATCTAGAGATCATGGACCAGTTTTATCTTGTCAAGTTTTTCACTGATAAATTGAGTTTTCTGGACAAGGTTAGTAACTGTAGATTTGACTTTAATAAAGTCAATTAAAGTTTCTAAATTAGTGAGCAAAAATTCAACCCATTTCCATCATCGTTTGATATTTACATTTGAAAATATTCTACATCCAGGTTGTCTCCAATTCGAGTATTTCTGTTGGTATTCTCTTGGTGCCGCTAGTGCTCTCCCATTACAAAATCCATCCACAAAATGAATATCTATTAAAATTATTATTAAAATTCTGCATTTTATCTTTAGATTTTATTCAATATCCAATACAGCACCGTAAAGTGAAAGCAAAGCAGTATTCATGTAATCCTTTTCCATTCTTGGGATTATGTAATAAAACTTTAAAATCGATTTTTCTCGAAAACGAAGCATTTTATCGAAGTAAATCAAGAGTACTTTTTTTAAATTGAAAATATTGACATGCAAAAAATTGGGGGTGCATTTTACCCCCTGCCTGAGGCACCCCTGACTAAAGGGGGGCGTAGCTCCATTAGGAAGCATTTTTCGACCCTTGTTTATAGGAAAAATATAATCTGGTAAAAAGGATTTTGAATTTAGTAAAATAGCACATTACCAGTCAAAATGCGAAAAACAATATTTCTTAAATGTTTGTTCCTATTTACGCTCAAATCCTTTTGTCCTTGTATCGGGAATTTGTTTATAAACATTTGAATGTGTGCATTGTTGATAGGCGAGCGGTTCACCCCTAAAAAGATGCTTCTAAATGAAGGTAACCGACTAAATTTTTAAAACAAAATCCTACAGCATGAAACTTTTTTTATTTTATAGTGTATTTTTCTGATAATTTACATATTTTTTTTTATATTTCTCGGCGTGGTCAGTCAATTGTTATAAACAAAAAAGTTGTAAAAAAAATTACTCACCGAATGGCTTTGAAAACAGTTTATTGTAAAATGGACCAAAATAAACACTTTTTGTTCTTTGACATTCGAAAAATGCTTCGTTTCCGAGATATTTACAATTTAATGTGAAAAAAGTGACGAAATCGACAAACTGTCGGAATTTTTTTCTTTTTCTCAAAAAGTACTGTACAGAGGCTTAATTCTAAAAAAAGCATAATAATCGGCAGATCTACTTTAAGATATATTTTTTGGTATAGGTTAATTATTTTATTGAAGGTCTAAAGCGAGTAAAAAAAAACAGTTTTTTAAAGAAAATCATGATAAACATACGCATCAAAATGGCGGCGTCAGTGGCGCTACGTCGCGCGCGAAATTCAAATTTTCTTTTTACAATATCTTGGACTAGATTATATTTACAGTAAACATAATGTTATTAGGATATTTTTAATCGATATATAACAATAACATTTAATGATTCAATCGGCTAATGCGGATATAACCATAATTTTTCCTACATTTATAATAATTAAATATAATTTTTATAATTATATTCATGCGTTTTTTAATGCAAAAATTATTATTTATGATTAGAATTATATTACCATTAATGTTATCCAATAACTTTTCGAGACCGCTAGGTCAATTATTATTATTAGGTTAATTTTACGATTTAAAAAGCTTATTTAGTTTAGTTTTGGTATAAGTCAATTTTAGCCATTTATAAAATCAAAAATCGAATATTCAAATTTTACTAATTACTTGCAAAAACCTGACTCCGGCTACAAAACCAAACAAAATGATCTTTTGAACATTTGTACTGTTAACATGTATCGATTAAAAAAATCATAATAATGTTTATTGTAAATATAATCTAATCCAAGATATTGTAAAAAGCAAATTTAAATTTGAAGTGTTATCATAATTTTCTTTAAGACTTTTTTTTACTCGCTTTAGACCTCCAATAAAATGATTGACCAATACCAAATAAATATATCTTAAAGTAGAAAATCTGCCGATTATTATTATGCTTTTTTTAGAATTAAAATATGTTTAGTAGTTTTTGAGAAAAAAATTCCGAAAGTATGTCGATTTCGTCACTTTTTTCATAACTGTAAGTATCTCGGAACCGAAGCATTTTTCGAATTTTTGTCAAAGAACAAAAAGTATTTAAAAAAGTTTCTGCTGTAGGTTTTTGTTTTAAAAATTTAGTCGGTTCATGCCTTTTCCTTAGGGGTGAACCGCTCGCCTATTATGGATGTTGACTAGGCAAAAAACAAAAACACAGATGCAGATGTATACAGGGTGTCCCGTAAAGTATGTTACAAACTTTGGGTGGTGATAGTACATAAAAAAATATGACTAAAAACTCTAATAAACATAACCTCTTAAACGCACCGTTTTGAAGTTATAGGCCTTAAAAGGTGCAACTACAAAAGTAGTTTTTGTGACGTAACTCTTTGTTGGAAAAAGAAAACATAATGAAATTTTCAGGGACTAGTCAGCTTTAGGAA